CAGAGCTTCGGCAGCTTTTTTGCCGTACTCCTCAACCTCCTGCTGCTTCTCTTCAGCTGCTGCCTGCTTCAGCTTAGCAAGCTTTAGCTCTTCCTCGGCTACCCTTTGATCGTGCTCGGCAGCGTCCACCCTATCTTGTAGGGAATCTATCAGCTCTACAGTGAGAGTCTGATTGTGCACGAACTGAAAACAGGGGCACAAGTTAAAAAAGTAAAAAATAATAGCTGAAAGGTTGAGCTCAGAAAGAAATCAAGGCAAGGAAAATTACCTGCATCATCAGCAGTTGGTTAGACCTGGCTGGGTCAGGAACTGATCTACTGGATTCGCCCATCCCAGCAGTGGCCTTCAGCGACCAGATCCTTGCCCTGTCTACTTCGGACATGCCAGCAAAATTGCCGAAGTAGGCTGCAGCTCCTTCTCGGTTTTGACCCCATATGAGGTCCCAGATGTGATCTGGGATTGGAATTCGGGGGGCCGAGAAACCCATTTCTCCAGAATGCAGAGTCTGGAAAGAAGGGAAGGACGACGATGGAGCTTGATTAGCTTTGGTTGTCTCAGCATCGTCCTTCTCAGAGGAGTCAAGTACTATGACCTCCTCTTCTTCAGGGGTGAGGACGAAAGCCTCAACCTCTCTTGCGATATCTGCCGTGAAGCCTTCAGCACTTGACATCACGGCATCTTTATTTTCGTGCTCAGCAGCACTCTCCTTGATTTCTTCTTGGACCCCTCCCTTAGGTCCGGGAGTTCTCTGATCCACCTCCATCTCAGGAGGTGGTGGAGGGGTCTTTTGAGGAGATTGGGGTGTTGGCTGGGGAACCCTCGGCGATCCATTGCCTTCCTCAGGTTCCCTTATTGCGACGCCGATGGTCATCGGCCTCTGCTGAAAATCATGAGGGCCGATGATAGCCATCCTTCGGCGCCTTTTCAGAAGGGGCTGCTCGTCCATATCTGAGTCTGAAGACTCTTGTATTTGATCTTCGGGACGAACAGGAGCTTTGCCTTCTCTGTGTCTGTTACTCTCTTCAGACTGTAACAGACAGGGGGGAAGAAGAGTGTGAGTAAAAAAAAAAAAAAAAAAAAAAAAAAGAGAAAAAAGTTGTCCAAAAACTCACCGAGGTCTTCAGCAAAGCCTCGTCTTCTTCAGCTGCTCTAGCTGCAGCTTCGGCTTCAGCAGCTCTGGAGGACCCTTCTCCTCCTTCACAAGCTTCAATAACCCGTGCAACCTCTTCGGCTGTACGGGCAGCTTCAGCTTCTTCTTCCAGCAGCTGAAACAAGGGATCCCTCTTCTTCCACCAAGGCTTCTGCCTCTGATACAGAGCAACAGCCTCAATTTGGAAGTGGGAAGAGTCTAGGTGAACCTCTCGGCGCCTTGGTTCAGTGATAGGGGGAGCCCGATCAGTTACGACTCGTTCTCGGTTGACGCCAAGGCGAGCGTAATCAATGCCGATGTTGGTCTCGTCCCGTTCTGAAAAAGAAAAGGGGAGAAGTCAATTCAGTTAGTTCGGCACATCACAAGAAAGCAAAATGAAAGAAGAAAAGAGATAATTAAAAGGCCTCGGCCCCAGCCGAAGAAGATTACCATCCCTAAACTTTCGGCTGAGGCCGACAGCTGCCAGCATATTCTCTTGGAAAACATAGTGCGTATCGGGGAGCCAAGTCTCCGGGATATGCTGCATTCGGCCGCTGCCTCCCCGGTTCGGCAGCTTGCCGAAGATGTTCTGCTGATTAAGGTTCGGGTCTGGCCCGCTATCTTCGGGAGGACCTAAACTTCCCATATCAGGATCCGGCTCGGCAAGATACCGGGGAGCGCTGAAAACATAAGGATGGCTCGGCTCCGTGGGCGCCCTAACCCAAATCCATTGACCTCTCCAGTCCTTGTCTGAAGAGTCGTTCGGCCACATGGTTAGGAACGGGGGCCGAGACTCAATCCGATACCACCCAGAACCATGGCTTCCGTGCCCACTCTGAATATTTGGCACTAGCCGATGGAGCTTTCTGAAGCAGTGCAGGTTCGGCACGTATCTGAAGAATTTGCAGACCCATAAGTACGTCATTACCCTTCGGATGCTGGTGGGGGTCAGCTGGCACAGGGAAATGTTGTAATGGATCAGCAAGTCTCGGACGAATACGTCCAAAGGGAACCTCAGCCCATACTGAAGCTGTCTCGTGTACACCCCCACATACCCCGGGGGTGGACGATGGATTCTATCGGATGCTGAGGGCATTCGGCACCAATATCCATCAGCTTCAAAAATGCCGTAGTGCAACTCAATTTGCTCAGCAAATCGATATTGATCGGCGTTCTCTACCCACCATGAGTAGGGACGGTTCTTTATCATGGCCGAAGCTACTTCGGCATCCTCCCACTCTGAAAACCCTGGGAGGATATCCCAAAGGACAGCGGGAACTTCATCATCCCGTCCTGAAGCTCTCACCCCCTCAGCCCTCTGAGGAGGAGCCGAAGAAATGGGAGTCGCCCTAACCCCTCCAGCAGGGTCAGACTCTGTCCTTCGTCCATTCCAGGTCCCAATCCTGACCCTGGGATCGGGGATTAGCCTTGCTCTTCTTGGAGCACGGGCTCCACCTCTAACTCCCCTCACCATTGACGAATTTCGAAGGAAAAAGTCGAAAAAGGGGAAAGAGTGCAAAGTCGAAGAAAGATGAAATAAAATCAAAGGAATTTACCTTGATCTGAAGCAAAAGCCGCCGATTTATGAATTGGTAGTGACAGGTCTCAGCTTCTAAGCTTAATGCTCGGGGAATTTGCGAAGTTTTGATGCGGGCTCTTGAGCGTTCTTGAGAATTCTGGGTTTGTGTTGATGAGTGAGTGGGGAGAGAAGACGCGCCTCTATTTATATCTCCAGAAATGGGAATTCAAGGAGTCTGCGTTTCAATTTCTCTCAAGCACCCCACTAAGTAGCCGTTAAACACACGACCTCGCAGTTAAATCGCCCACTACCCGTCCAACTTCCGCAATCATCCACATTAACTGTTGTTATCTCATTAATCATGGGTTAATTACGGTTCAAATTCACATTTTTGGATCAGCAAATCATTCACTTCCCTCCTTTTCTGGTTAAATCAAACCCGACCCGTCATTCTTCCAAATCGGGTCTGGGGGGCAAGTTGTTTGGGTCCAATTTAGTCCAATTGGGCCTGGTCACTGAATGATCCAATTAAAAGCCCAAGGCAAAGGTTCAACTCTCCAAATATGCTAAAGTCAGAAATCAACATCCTCAAAGCCATGTCAAGGTCAGTCAACGGCCCAATCAGCTTGGCCCAGCCCAACTGATTTCCGGGCCCAATCCGCCTCCTTCATTAGCCAAGGTATAAAAGCCAACAATTTGGTCAATTCTTGGTAAGAGTAAGACAAAGACAAAGACAAAGACAATAAGCCTCAAGCAACTAAACTCTTGCACAGCTTTCTCTCTCTAATATACTGACTTAAGCATCGGAGGGGCCTTCCTCGGCGTCCCCCCCGAGGCTAGTTTACGTGTATTTGTTGTGCAGGAAACCCTCGGCTCCGGCGTCGTTCGGACCGAGACCAAGTTCCCTCAAGATAAAAGGATCTTCCGAGATTCGATTGTTTTCATCCGAAACAAGGAGTATAATAAGTGATTTAACCATGGTAACATGCAAGTGATTTAAAACTAATTAAGGCAACAAATTAGTATTTCAAACAATGTGCCTTTTATTGTGCATTGCCTAAGTTCATTAATGGGCATGCATGTGGGCAATGTGGTACAGCCCATATAATCCTTAGTACGAGTCTACAGTGTATTTATTAATTTATGCGTTAATTTTCTTGGTCTATACTTCTTTCTTCCGTAGAGTCCGTACCCTATTTTTGCGATATACGGTACCTTGTTACATTATGTTTTTTTAAAATAAGTTTTGACAAATTTTATTCCGTAAAAGTTAAAAATGTTAGTCATATACTCAAAGTTTATACAAGTAATTGAAGCAGTAGACCGTACTATAAACTTGACAAAAGTATGCTCTTGTAAATTGTGTGTGTAGAGCCTTGAAAAAAAAACACCCCATACAACAACACTATAAAGCGGATTTTTTCGGATTGGATAGAATCAGATTAGTCGTGTTAGTTTTTTACACCTTTTATTACGAAAGTAGTCTACTTTTTTTTTTAATTTTTTTTTTTTTGTGGAAATTTTATTTTCATCATCTTCTGTGTGGAGTAATATTTAACACATGGTTCACATTAGAATACGACGATTTCAAATCGAAGAAGTCTTAATTTGTTATTTTGAAAGGATTCTTTTTCATTAATTAGCATTGATCACCGACGTGGTTGGGCGGAATAGCTACACGTGAGTACGTGACAGACTCAAATTACTCAATCTTATAGTATGGAGTACAGACGTACAGTACCAGGAACTCCATCCCTAATCCCTATATTATCCTAAAGAGATTAAGCTTTGTAGTCTTTCCATATACTTGATAAACCACCCAGGGACATATATTATGGTGTCGAAAATCTTTCATTGGGTTATTAAACTGAAACTCACTTATTACTTACTACTTACCATACCATTGTTAATGCATGCAATACTATACATGAGTAAATGAAGTGAGATACTTTAACCAGTTATGTCAAGTCTTGCATGAACATTGTAGTTGTGTACTTGTGCGTCATGCTATGTACTAATTAATGATGTAATCATGGTATAGAACCCACCCACCCTAGTCATAATTAACAGTATAATTGAGGTTAATTTTCAAAAATTAAATGAAATTTTATGCTTTTGTTAACATGCAACTTATTTATACTAGTCGAAGCATACTGACATACACATCAGGTAAGCATATGTTTTAATTGTTGACATAACATCTGTTACACAAGGAAACATGGAAATATTACATACACAGTTTATTTTACGACGTAGTAAATTTTATGTTGAGACTAGAGAACATGACATAATTTTATTATGTTAATACTTTTATTTCATATTTTTATGAGAGATCTAAACTCGTGGAAACATTTACCAAGTAGTTTGATCACAATTATAGCATTTCTCATGAGCTATGTCATTGATTTGGATACCAGAATCATAAATGGATCCGGATCTCCAGACCGGCGGCAAGACTTTTTGGGTCAACACATATCCTGATTTTATCAAAAACCTCAACTTCAGTGGGCCTGTTGGCACCTTATTTGTATCCCATACTGCCCCATAGTTTCTCTTCATGGAAGCCCAATTGTTTGAGCCCACCTACTCAACAAAATTAAAGAAATTAAAAAGGGTCATTTCATGTGTCTAATTGGTACAAATAACACTAGTCATAATTATAATATTTTTTCTAAATCGAAATAAGTTTGAAATGGTGTAGATTATTATAAACCGAATAGTTATTACACAAATCAATTCCAATGATCTAACTTAATACAACGTATGTACTTCTATCTGCTTATAAAATAATGATTAATTTATACGATTCTTGTTATTGATGTTCAATTAGGGTTGCAATTAACTTAAAGAATTACGAGTTTATGACCGGAAGATTAAAATATGCTTATTAGAGTATGTACCTTGGCCACATCCATCCCAATGATCTCTGTTTGGCCACCTTGATATAATACCGTAAAGGCCAAGTAGTAGGGCTTGCTGCTGATATATATATATATATATATATATATATATATATATATATATATATATATATATATATATTGCATAAGTTTTCTTTTTAAAATATGAAGGGATATTTTTTGAGAAGCAAACCTCGAAGCAAGCACCACAACCAGCACCTTGTTTAAAAAGGGAAGGCAGGGCACCAGCTAGCAGCCCTCCATTAAAACCCAAGGCCAAAGGATCATATCCACAAGATCCAGCTGCATGAATCAAACTCAGTAATTTATATTCATCTAGCTAGTAATAATTTCCTCTTTCCACAAAAAAATAGTCCAGCTAAATCGCCTTTAGAGTCACAATCTTATTGTAGGACTATTATTTGTAGATAGAGGGAGCATAAAATTTAAAATAACACGGAATAAAGTAAATAAATGAAAAGTTACATACATGAAATTAGGGAGGTGTAAGTAGCGTTAGATTTATGCACACAACGACCGCAAGCAGATGCTGATGACACAAGAATCATGAAGAGAAAGCTTAGAACAATGAATGCCATGTTTAGTTTATTATAATGTTGAATTGCAAAATGAAATATGATAGTATTATTGTTTGTGGATGAAGCAAAGGAGGAGAGGAATGAGGGGTATAGATAAGTTTCATAAAAAAGCTTATACCTGCTCCCTTTAGAAAACTTACTCAACCTAACAACAGTCACAACTTTCTGTATGAGCCAAGTACAGACCATTGGGCATTGAGTAATAAACTATTGTACGGAGTATTTAGGAACCACATTATCAAAAGTCAACTCACCATAGGATTTGACTTTGTATGCTAATAGTTTTTGAAAACAAAATCCATTAAAACTAAGGATTTGTTGCACTGAATAAAAAAGAGTAAGAATAATTAGTGCACCACGCATGTCTTGGAGGAATGTAAAGTGTAACCATTTTTTTGGGATGACCACAATAGGAAAGGGTAGTCATTAATTTGAAATGGTTAGAGTAAGCCGTATTAGTCATTGAATGTATTGCGAAAACAGGACAGGTCCAAGATCTCAAAATCTACATAAAAATGAAGTTCTATTTCTCACTTGTGAACATTATTTTGCTATACATCTTTGCAATCAATATACTAGCACTCATATGGGAGTGCATTGTATGATTTGTATCTCTTTCTTTTTTTTCTAAGCCAAAATAAAAAATAAAAAATTTGCCAACAATGGAGTTGCTTCTGTCTCAGCTTTCTTTCTCTGAGAGAACAGAAATAATTTCATCCCGTGCTTTATCAAGAGCAGCTGATAAATTCTCAGGTTTCCTTCCGCCAGCTTGTGCGAAATTAGGTCTTCCACCACCACCTCCACCGCATAACTTGGCAATAGGTCCAATGAATTTCCCAGCTTGAATCCCCAAATTAACAACTCCTGGTGTAAATGCAGCAACTAAACTGACCTTTCCTGCACCAGGAGAAGATCCCAAGATCACAGCTGCAGGATCTTCCATATGGTCTATCAAAAACTCAGCCGCACTCTTGAGTGAATCAGCATCTGTGTCGTCCATAGACTCAACAATTACCCTGTATTTAGCATGAGGAGAAACATGAAGTTGTGATCAAAATAATCCCGATAAAGTTTTATTTGTAAGTTCTGGGTATCTGGAACAATGCGAAGTACTCTGTACCTGACAATCTTTGAGTTCCCTACAGTAAAGGCTTTATCAAGTATGGCTGATGCTTTATATACAGCAGCTTTTGCACGAGCAGCTGAGACTTCATTTCTTGTCTGTCGCAACTCTTCTAACAGGGCTTCTACCCTCGGCGTAACTTCTTCGGCTTTGACCTTATAAACCAAATGCTAACAATATGAGTAAATATTCACAAATAACAGGATCAACTTTTATTTTTTGCCCCCAGATTTTCCGGGGTGCAGTGAGGTTAAGGAACCCCACCACCAAAGTGCCTCTGCTGGGGTTTGATTCCTTTAATACAAGGTTGTTAGGAACAAACCCAACACTAGACCAAACCTTGCTTGGTTGAGGGGAACAACATTTACAGAAGAGTTGGATTAGACCATGCCATAGACAGTATTCATAGAATCATACAAGAGTAGCCATTAGTCCACAACGGCACATGCTTATAATACTGGTTCATGTAATAGGACTAATCACTAATGTGAGTGCAACTGATATCTACAGACCCAAAACTAGGCCTTCCAAGTCAAAAGGAAAAAATTTCCATATAATGAAGGATACGCATACTTCAGAAAAATTTTGGACTTGGAAATTGAGCCAATTTCTCAAGTCAAAGCAATAAAGAAGCAAATGAACTATGTATTATAAAATTTTGCAGTAAAGATCAGTAAACATACTTTGAGGGTAGAACATAAATTCTTCATATAGTTGTCCCTGGTTAAGATGTATTCAATGAAGGCATCGCCAGCAACAGCTTCAATACGTCGAATGCCAGATGCAACTGCCTGTTCTGAGATTATTTTGAAGCCACGTATTTCAGATGTGTTGCTCACATGAGTGCCACCACAGAGTTCCAAGGATACACCAGGGACTTCTACAACACGTACCTAGGCACAAAGAAGTTCAAGAAAAATGCAGAAAATAAGCCATTTCCCTTTTCTTTTGCATATTGAGATTTCTACACCTCATACATACAATTGGGAGAACCAGAGGAAATATCAAAACTTCACTTTCACGAGTATACACCAATATTTACTTCTGAAAATAATATCTAGCAAAACACACTTTGATCACACAGTTGGGGAATAGAATCTGACCTGTTCTCCATATTTTTCTCCAAACATTGCAATAGCCCCAGCTCTTTTTGCATCATCTAGTGCCATCACTTTAGTTTGAAGTAGTGTAGCATCCCCAATCCATTCATTGATAAGCCCTTCAATTTCAAGAATTTCATTGTCTGAAATTGGTCGATGGAAGTTGAAGTCAAACCTTAGACGGTCGAAGGCCACCAAAGAACCAGCCTGTGATGTCTCCTGCCCCACGACTTTCTTGAGAGCAGATTGTAGCAAATGAGTAGCAGTATGATGAACCTGGAAAAATCATAAAACATAAAGTTTACTGAGAATAAAAACTTATACATCAACGAGTTAAGCGAGGTAAAACAAAAAGGTCAAGCAAGTATTAAGGCACACAATTTTACTATGGTAAAATTCAGTTATCAGCACATAATCCTCACCCTCCATCCTCCATTACTCACTCTACTATCACCACATTTCCCGCTCTGGGCCCTCTAAACAATGTCTTCCTTATGTAAATACAATAACATTACTCGGACTGAAAGACATACCTTAGCCCTCTGCCTGAGTTTGGGATCAACTGCAGCCTCCACTAATTGACCAACCTCTAAAGCACCCTCTGTTATGATTCCCTTGTGAACAAATATGCTACCAGAAATTTTCTGGACATCTTTCACCTGCACAATACCATTTGGTTGACTATCAGCACTACTGACATAGAGAAACCCGTGGTCTCCTATTTGGCCACCTGATTCAGCATAAAACGGAGTTCTATCCAGCAAGACTTCTACTTCATTTCCTTCATTAATCTCCTCCACAGGTCTTCCATTCACCAACAAGCCTTCCACCTTTGCCCTTGCAGAAAGGGTCTCATACCCCAGAAATTCAGTCTCTGGAATGGTTTCTGCTAGATCTGCATCATTTCCAACTGCAAGTCTAACCGTATTATGAGCAGACTGGGATTGCTGCCTTTGGTTTTCCATTTCAACATCAAATTCGTTCATATCTACTTGGATACCAAGCTCTTGTGCAACTTCTACAGTTATCTCCACAGGAAATCCATATGTATCATACAAAAGAAATGCATCTTTCCCAGATAAACAAGGCGTACATCCATTTGTACTGCCATTTGATAATGCTTCTTTTAACTTCTGGTCAAGTAACTTTTCTCCTCTCTCCAATGTCTGCACAAACCGTAGCTCTTCCCTTCTTAACTCCTCAAGAATACGAGGAGCCTGGCCCCTCACATCTGGGTCTATTTCATAGCTTAGGTCTATAACTTTCTGCGCTATAATTGGCAAGAATGCTCCTTCAAGGTTTCCTTTACCATCACCCTTTATGCCAAGCAATCTTCCAGTACGAACAGTTCTCCTAATAAGACGACGTACTACATAACCTCTTCCAATATTCGATGGTACAACACCATCCGATATAAGATATACGACAGCACGCATATGATCTCCAATTATCTGAAAAATGAGCAAGCTTTCAGATGAAAAACAAGTTTTAAAGGACAAGGATCAGTCTTTTTTTTTTTTTCTTTTCCTTAAAACACAGAGCCACCACATACTTTAAGTTTTGTCTTCGTGGATTCATCAGCAACAGAATAGGAAACATTCGCCAATTCTGAAGCCTTCTCTATTATTGGATAAATCAAGTCTGTTTCATAATTATTGGGAACCTGCGGGGAACAGATGACTCAAAACCATGCAAGGTAATAGCCACCATAAAAATAAGCATATGATAGTGTATATCTACTACATGCTTTAAAAGCAGATAAGCAAACATATTTCATTTTCTATAGAAGAGGAGGCTGCTAACTACCAAATCTACTTCATTCATAGGAGAGATGTCATTGATCTGCCTATACCTTCTGAAGTATACAAGCCAACCTTTCTAGACCAAGACCAGTATCTATATTTTTTTGTTTTAGTGGCTCAAGCGATCCATCTTCTGTCCTGTTGTACTGCATGAAAACCAAGTTGTAAAATTCAAGGAATCTTGTATCATCCCCTAGATCCTGCATAGAACAGCATGGTCAACAGACAATATCTGTCATGAATGTGGTTGATCTTCATCGACAAAAAGTGACGAAAAGAGCATGAATTAGAACAAAGAATCAAGTAAAGATATACATACAACATCCAGACAACCTCTTTCAGGGTGGAAATCATAATAAATTTCAGAACATGGACCACAGGGGCCAGTCACTCCACTGGACCAAAAGTTATCTTCTTCACCCATCCTCTTTATGCGCTCTACAGAAACACCAACCTGAGCAATGGCAAATTCATCAAGTCTTTATATCCAAGGATTTCAAATGGTCATTAATATATTTAAGATGTAATTCAAAAGTTGAACCAAACTTCTATCAGTGGTCAGATGAGCAAGTGTGTTCAATTCATCTCTATCAAGATGGATGCTACTACCGATTTTGAAGTGAAAATATAAAAGCAAAGTGGGCCTAGAAGAATGAAGATACATAAAAATGGATCTTTAGTGAAGAAACAGCCGCAACACAGTTAAAATTTATAAATAAAATTATAATATAACAGATTACAGCTACATGTTATGTTAACAAACATATGAACTACGAAGTAGGCAAGAGAGAGAAGAAAAGAGTATGGAAGATAACTGTAAAAAATGAAAAAATAAAAAATAGAAGTTAATTTTCAGACCAGCTCACCTCATCATGCCATAATGCAAAAGCTTCATCATCATCTTTATAAACACTAACCCATAATCTGTCTGCTAGCAAACCAAACCTGTTACAAGACACTTTAATAGTATCAAAT